GACAATCTTCACATGTGTAGTATTGTCCTGTAATGAACAGAGATGAGGAAAGGAACTGGCACTCTACCTCCTAAACTGGGTCCTTGAAGGTGTCAAGAACAAACATGTCATACTTCAAAGGGAGTAATTCCTAAGGGACTACCCTCACAATTTATATAGGTGTTTAAGGATAGACAATGTTTACAACAAACACACAGAATTTATATATATATATATATATATATATATATATATATATACATATATAAGAATACATTGTGACAAAATGCATTTTTAGATGCAGATCCAAGAAATATGGCGTTGTCTTATTTCCATCAAAGTTCACTTTAAATACATCCAAACGGACTTCTCATGCACACGAGGAATGGTCGAATGGTAGAAATAAACACACCTTATTGTTTGAAATATATTTATATACATGTGAAACACAGGTCAACTGCACTGGTTGCGAAACAGCTCAAACGAAAATTGAATTGGTAAATCAGACTACTTAACAGTTATTTATACATTTATATATATATATATATATATATATATATATATATATATATATATATATATATATATATATATATATATATATATATATATATATATAACCTGATGAAACTGAAGACAGGATGAAACTTTTGAAACAGATTAATGCAGTTTAAACGTCACAGTAAACAAACCCCTAAAACACTTTATGGCAAGGTCTGACCCAGTACTATGAATAAAGAAGTTCACAGAGAAAAGACTAAACAGATTGCAATAACACCTCGTGATATGGTATATTCAATGACAGGGAGAAAACAGCTTTACTACTGATTCGACAAATAATAACGCCTGGTGCCTTGGTTTGATCAAACTCTGGAACACATTATTCTACTGGCTGGACAATAACAACGCCTTGTTGCATGGTTTGATCAAGCTCTGAAACACATTATTCTACTGGCTGGACAATAACAACGCCTTGTTGCATGGTTTGATCAAGCTTTGGGAACAAAACTATTTTTCTTCTGGTTGACATTTGATCGTCACACAAGGTCAAGCGGCAAGGCCTGACCACAACAGGAACAGAGCGCTTCTACTGTTTCCGACAGACATCACACTATCCTATGGTCTGATCAAGGACAGATAATACAATAGTTTGTCTGCTGTTTCCGAGAGACAACACACTATCTATGGCCTGATCAAGGACAGATAATACAATAGTTTGTCTACTGTTTCCGAGAGACAACACACTATCTATGGTCTGATCAAGGACAGATAATTCAATAGTTTGTCTACTGTTTCCGAGAGACAACACACTATCTATGGTCTGATCAAGGACAGATAATTCAATAGTTTGTCTACTGTTTCGGAAAGACAAGACCGCTAACAGACATCCTATAATGCCCAATGGCATGTTCTACTCCAGATTTGACTTTACCTATCAACTAGTAAAAAAGCAGTTCTTATGCTAGTTCGGATAGACAGGCTAACAAACTACCGTAGAGCCAGACAAATGCTTTGGTTGTATGGGAAGACATCTCCAATTGTATCTCTCTACTATAGAGAACATGCAACTTGCAAGAGTGCGACCAACACAGCCAGGGAACACAATACCCACCACAGTAAGTAGACAGCAATAAAGCATAGCATCGCATGATACTAAATGCTCTGACAGCAAGAATTCTTTGCTCGCTAGTTATATTTTGTTTTAACGCGATTCCACTATGTCTGCTAAAAGCAAAGGTGTGGCATCTGCGCCTTTCGATCCATGCGTCGAAATTTATGTGAAAGACCAAGCTCACAAATCATCCACGTTAAAGGATAAAGAATTATCACACTGTCAGACAAAGAATAATTTTTGAACATGTCACAAATCTGGAACAGATAAAGCTGCATACCAGTTTTCCGACTGTCAAACGTGACTTGGCACGAAAGACTAATTACGCCAAATTCATTTTATTTCATTCCTGTCATTATGTAATACATTTTGAATGTTAGTTTTTTTTTTTTTTTTTTTTTCTCTGGCTTCATACTTATCGTTTAACTTGATACGTATTCATATTTATATATTCACCAGTGTACACATTAATTGAAAAAGATTACTTAATGTAATAGTCACACAGATTCATGAGCAACAAAATACATGGATGCAGCTAATCAGCGATATGGAAAACCTCACTACAAGTCTCACAGACGACATGTGTGCACCAACAGCCAGCCTTGCATAAAGCGTCATATGTACATCGAACTTCCATCTCAGAGCCACGCAACACGCAATACCAGACACAACAAGTAGCCTTAACGTAGACTGATCGTCTTAGTGCTAGACCCACGCAATACTCTCACACAGCCATGATCCGCATATTACTTGTATTCAACTAACGAGCCTCACAGATCCACGAATCACACAATAATTGCACACAGCTATAAAACCTGATAGAGCCAGAAACCACGCATATACAGCTAGTAAGCCTCATCATCCTCATGTGCACTGCCAACTGGCTCCGGCACTCGTGCGTCTCCATAGATCACGATCCCTGGTTGCCCGGAACAGCTCTCTTGATGATATCCCTCCATGCCATCGTTTCAGCCCATCCAGCATCGTTTCTCTTGGTCTGCCTCTACCCATTTTTGTTTCACTTATCTTTCCAGTTGTCGCGATGTTCTCCAATATCTCTCTTCGCACTATGTGGCCAAAGAACAGTGTTTGTCTCTTTCTTATTGTTGTATATATAGATCTACTTCCATTAGCCTCTTTCAAGCAATCGTTGTTAGTCCCTCAGAGCCACAAATACCCCACTGCTTGTAAACAGCAACTGAACCTCACAAAAGTCACGAACAACACACACTACTAGTATGTAGTCAGTGAACCTCACATAGCCATGAATCGCACTACATTTTAAACAGCTAGTGAACATCACAGAGTAATGAACCGCACAATATTTCAAACAACTAGCAAACCTCACAGAGCCACGACAATGCATATACAGCTAACGAAATCCACATATATCCCATATAAGGCTTACTTTTCAGCTATTCCGGCATTCATTTAGTCAGCTTAAAAAAATGATGGCTTATGCAACACCATCACACAACTAGCAAGCCTCAAATAATGGTGGCCCACACAACACTATCACACAACAAGGCAATCTCAAATAATATTTACCCCTAGAGGACCATCACACAAACAACCTACCTAAAATAATCATGGTCCTTTTAACACCATCAACTAGCGAGCCTCAAATAATCATGGCGCATATAACACCATCACACAACTAGCCAGCCTCAAATAATAATGGCGCATATAACACCATGATACAACTAGCCAGCCTCAAATAATCATGGCGCAGAGACACCCTCGCACAATTACCCAGCCTCAAATAATCATGGCGCATAGGCACCCTGGCACAATTAGCCAGCCTCAAATAATCATGGCCCATATAACACCATCACACAACTAGCCAGCCGCAGATAATCATGTGCATAGACACCCTCGCACAATTAGCCAGCCTCAAATAATTGAGACCCAAAGACACCCTTACACCACTGGCCAAATTTAAGAAACTATTAACCACAAAATAAATTTACCTAAGTATTTTTTTACAAATATATCTACTAAATATGTATATATTAACAATAACGCATGTTCGGTGATACATATTACAAAATACAAAATACACAAGTAGTAGGTAACAACAATACGCTTTATCTACACACAACCTATACTCTGTTTTTATGAATGGCAGTAACAATTGTTCCAAATGCGAACACGTCATTTTAATAGAGGTAACAACAACTCACAGCAGAACACTGAAATGTGTGCTTGTCGCTTCCAGATCAGATGCAAGCAAATGTCCACGGACTATGAGGTGCTGGTACAGTTGTTTTCCCATGCTTAAGTAACACTGAACAGTGTGATTTTCTTAGCAGACCTAGAGTGTCTGTTGTCCGATTGTTCTACTTGACGTAATGATAACTCCTATGTGTCATCACCTTAGGATTAGTCTTCTTACTTCAGCTCAGGATATGACTTATCATATTTCACCTCATGGTCAGCCTTTTCATATTTTAATCGTAACTAACTTCACCTTCCACTGAGTCTTATCTTGCTTTAGCTTACAATGAGTGCGTCTTATCTTACCCAATCTCAGATGAGTCTTAGCTTACGTCATTTCACAATGAGTCTTATCACTCGAGCCACCCTCAAACGATATCAACAGTAGCACTGGCTGGTAGATCCGTGCCCATCCTGACAGCAAAGAACTATGATGGATGAACTGACTTTACTGCCCTTACTTTACAATTTTTTCGGGCGATTTAGGACAGGGGGCCTCAAACCTGAGGATTGATGACCGCCTGGTTAGTCTATCGCCTCCAACTATGCAGATCAGGATTTTCAAGTATGGTCAAGCTTGTGTTATGCCTGCTATTCCCTGGTTATTGTTTGTTAAGAAGCGGGCTCAGGGACTATTCAACTGATTCACTCCGATCAGTACATAAATGTTTACACTCGAAACAAAATAGTTTGAGTCCTGACCATGTCTTGAGTTTTAGAATGTGTTTGCCGTTAGGAATGAAGGACTGCCTCATTCCTTCTACAGTAACTCTTCATTTTACTCGCCATTTTTTTTTTTTTAAGTTAACAAGGTTGATTGAGTATTGCAAATAAAGCACTCTATACGAGCTATTCAATAGGAGGGATTTACTGAAAATGTTTAGAGAACTTTCGGAAACTAAGAGGTGTTGATATTAAAGACACGGCTGATGCAAACGTAAGGAAAGTGTCTCATTTTCTAGCACACTCTAATCCACTTCTCTAGAAACCAGATATCACAGATGGTGAGGCTGATGCTGTGATAAACACCTCGAAAAGCAAGCGGAAATGTGTTCAGGGGCATCTTCACTTCAGCCAAGGAAATTCATTCATTTTAGTCCATACGCTAAGATCACTTGTGTACAGCCAAACTGCCATAGTTTGATGAATCCCTCAATGTTAGCCAGATCATTATCAAAATTTAAGTGTACTGTCACCGCTGGCATAAATCCCACGCCGATAGGCTGTCATCAGTGTCCATCTGTGACGCTTTCCGGTGGCGCTGATGTCGCCTTTTGCGTTTGATGGGCCAGTCCACTTTGGTGAACATAAAACATTTATTTCTGGCCCAGCTATCATTCTTGGCGTAGCCCTTCAGCTTGCGCCCACGCCTGTCAAACCCCATGTACCAGTGAGGGTTGGCCACTGACTGAAGTTTGAAGTAGTTGTTGTCAGTTACTTCCCTGAACATACACTGTGAGTTCTCAGCGCTCGTCTGAAACAACACAACATAGAAATCATGTTAGGGAGACAGTAAACAAGTTAACTATACAAACAGTTGCAAAACATACAACATTCCAAAAATTAGCTAAAACTGACTTTCTATCCCACCAGGACATCACACAAACGATAAACACCCGATGACACAATGTGCCACCATGTGGATGAGGATCACCGTGGAGAGGTCCCAGAAACCGCGTTCAGACATTAGGCTATAGTGCGACCCCTGGCAAGAGCCAGCGTAGGGCTTCAAATAACGAAAAATTGCATCCTAAAAAGGACGGCAGGATATTATTAGCTACAAAAATAATTTCACGTGAAACAAAACAGATGTATAGCCACAAATATAGTACACAATTTATGTTCGAGTTATAATTCAGCAGTTAGCATACGATCTTTCACAATATACAAGAAACAACAGAACTGCAGACAATGAGCTCGCTCGCCACCGATGTTGCACAACATAACTGACGTTTAAAAATGATCTAATTCACACTCTGCCGTGCAACCATTTGTCTGCCTCTAATAAAATAAGTCTTGTAACTTGGTCACAGGTACTACTGTTTTCTTTGAGCGGCGAATTTCTGTGATCTTCGTTTGATTAATAATTCGTGTACTTCTAAAACTAGAATATAAACTGGCCCACGCATTAAAATTGTTTGAAACTTATTTCACACGTGCAGCTATACTTGGTTATTATTTTGATAACATATCCCGCATGCAATAAAAAACCACAACTCAAGGGAGGTTAATGCTGGGAGTAAACGCCTATAAAATGCGTACAATTTGACGTTCTAAAAAGTTCCTGTTATTCGATCAACTGTAAGTATGCTGACTGTTTGCTTTTTATCAGTGTTTTTCATATTAAAAAAAAAAAAAAACAGGCAAAATAAAAACTAGACATTTGTTTTCATTTTAAAAAAAATTCTTACAAAGACATGATTATTAACATGTTGCTTGCCAAACTTAAACTGACAAGGAACCGTTTGTGGGTTACAGATTTTTAAAGTTGGTCACGACTTCAGGAACGGACTGTAGTGTAGTTTACATTTAAATAACTGTATATATTCTCTCAACAAATCTTTACAATGTTGGTCCCCTTTATGTTGGATTTACTCCAAGATGACTACACACATATACGACCAGCTTTCCTTTTCTCCCATCTATAGTCAGAACCGCCCCCGACCAGAATGTCGTAAAAGTCGACTAATTAAGGGTGTTTCCTTCGAAGTCGGCGTGCATCTGCCTGAGAGGTGAACAGCCAACAGTCCGCAAATTGTGGCGCGGTGATTTAGGTCACAGGCGTGAGGGAAAGTTAAGTCCAACATGATGTGTATAAGGAGATACTCCGTACGTGACTGTTCTAGTTTTACGGAACCTCACGCAAGACCCCTGCAGCACGTCCATGTCGTGCGCCACGGATAATGTCTCAAATTAGCATTAACAGAGCTGTCAGGGGATCTCGGAGTTGGCGGCCCCCAGAGGTGTAGTGTCCTTGTGGCTCTCGTCAGCCCGTCCCCAAATGCATGGGTGAAAAAGGTTATCAAAACTCATTAGGAACATGAGTAAAGTGCTTGCCAAATGTACAACTAAAATTACAACCCTTGGTTAAAAGATTGCGGAGTGAAGAGAACATTGTTCTGCTGAGACTCAACCCTTGACCGAGAGATTTACCCGCAGCACAGACGAGTAACATCTCCTGGGGGTATCGTCTCGCAGCAAGATTCTACCTATGTACATCCTCTGTTAACCCTCAGTATTGTCGTCACCGCGCTGAGGTACACCACAACAGCAACAGCCCATTGGCTGGCTAAGCCTAAATGTCCGACAAAACTAGATCCTACGGCACACGTGTAAGCTCAAAATCCGACCATCACAAATCGTATTGAATGGAAAAAGTCCAAATGTCCACACCCAAAGACCTTACTCGCCTGAGTGTTGGGACCAAACAGATAACGATATGCCTGGCGCAGGATGTTAAATTCTGTCGTACTAACGGCTCGTCAAAGATATCTAACGTGCGAAGAAAAAGAATGTACCTATTCGTGTGGTCACGAAAGTCCAGACCCGCGGGCTGCTCCCCGCTGATCACCGGATTGCGCAGCCCTTGTCGAGCGGGAGGCCTTATACGGTTGTGAGGTTAAGCAGGCATGTGCAGGACGTGACGATTCCTTGGGTGTGCCCAGAGCGCCATGTGCCGGCTCTGCATACAACGAAGCCTCCTTGGATGGCGGGGAATGCCCATGATCTGCCCCTGCCTTCCCTTGAGGGCTAACCGTTCTACAAGGGGCTGCCCCAAAGGGGTACTCCGGGGACAACACCTGCGGAGAATGAGACATAGAGGACACCACACAAATCAGGCAACGTCTCGACCCACACAAAAAATGGCCACAGTCATCCTAGAAATAGACCTGACGTCTTCCCTCGAAGTCGGAGTACATCTGCCCGCGAGGCAGGGAACAGCAAAACGGTTGTACACGCAAAACTCAGGTCCATGTAAAAGCCAAAAGTCCAAGTAGACGATTAACTGGGACCTTCCGCCGGAATTCACAGCCGGTGAACGAAGTAGAAGAAGAAGAAGAAGAAGAAGTCCGCAAATTAATACGTCAGATCTGTACAACTGTTGTGTACGTAAAAGTTCTAGAACAAGACTAAGTCCGTTTAGAGCCGGTTAGCGCAAATAATTATAATAATGAGATTAAGCTTTTCAGGCCAGTGGTACATAGGGCATAGGCTGCAAGGACCACATGTTTGTTGGTCATGGGCACTCGCTGGGCGATGTGAGGAACATCTGCCTGCTGCCTTTGCTTCCCATGTGATTTCCGAGTACTCATTTTGCTGGGTCAACATGGGAACCTAGGTAATTGTAACAAATCAGCCTCGATGAGGATTCAAACTTTAGGCATTCAGGCTGGCAGGCAAGAATTTAGCGACAATGCTAGCGGCTTCCAAAATCAGACATGATACAGTTGAATTGTGTGCAGCTATTGCAGCCAGCCCAGAGACAGTCTCTACTGTTGCAGCTTTGCATGAATGAGGCCACGGCGGCGACTTGCGAGCTTAAGCAAATTCGTAGAAGAATGCATTGCTGTCATTTTTGATGTGGTAAACGGATTATATCAGTTGAAGACTGAAAGCCCTGCATTTGATTCTGCGCCAGTTGCGACTGATACACTCCGACAAGATTAGAAACCTGCTTAGCGAAGATTCGTTTGGAATATTTTACATATCGTTTGTCAGCTCTTTTATAAATGTCCTTGTATGATAAGATATTAACTGGGTTATAGAAACTAAACTTGCATCAGTGACGCAAACGCGCTTGTGACTCCTTTATATCCAAGCGATGTTTCAGTTCGCAAGGAAAAAAGAAATAGTCAATTTGAAAGGCTATAATTAAGTTAAATATGTAGTGACGAGAATGAGGAAATGTATACGTTAAGTTTAAATAGGAAGTGACGAGGATAAGAGAAGGTATACAGCATTCCTAGAATAAATGGACAGTTTGGTGAGCAGATCAGTGGTATGTACAGTAATAGAAAACTATTTTGGTCTACACCTGAATCTTTTATCTATAAAGTAAAAGAAAAAAGCTGTTTCCAATTACACCTTGGATCTTTTGAGGACAAATTCAATGGAGAGTTATCAAGATTAATTTGGCTGCTGTTGTTTATAAAAATAATAAAATCGGCATCTGAAAGTGCTGGCTGTGGTGGTAGTGGTAGTAATGTTAATAGTAGTGTCAACAGCATCAACAGTAGTAGCTGTTGTTGTACTAGTAGTAGCATTGGAATAAAAAGAAGAAGAAGAATTCAGAAAAGAAAGTCAGACTGATCTACTGACATAGATAGAGCGGCCATCAGTCTCCAAGACATTGTGTCTAGTAACATGTTTAGCCTGATATAAGAAAATGATCAGTCACTTGTGTGTGAAGTGGATGTATTTTAGCTAAAGTCACTGTGTTGTTGCCTTACTGTTACTTTGGCTATCTTCCGAATAACGGTCCCAAATTATCGAGGCCAAAAATGTACCTTAACAGGGCCTCGATCACATGTCAATTGCGGACTTCCATCACCGCAGATGGTATCTCCACGCCGCTATGGGCGGCGTGGATTGGGGCTAAACTAGATGGCCGGGACTCACAAGCAGAAGATGCTGTAGCCGCTGCTCGTGAGTCTCAGCAATCTAGTTTAGATCCAATTTAAGCCGCGCGTTGCGGCGTGGGAGAAACTCTCGGAGGTGGCGGTAGTCGCCGGAAGTGAGCAATTTAAGTCGCCGGAATTGCGCAATTGACATGTGACTGAGGCCATGTTAGGGTATATTTTCGGCCTTGATAATTTGGGACCGTTATTCGGAAGATAGCCGTTACTTTAATCACTGATGAGTTAAGACCAAATGTGCCGAGAATAAATTGGGAAATATGTTTGTGTTTTCTTGATTCGAGTTTTAGACTGGGTTGACCTGGTGACCCAAGTACATTTTTCCAACATGCCTCGATAGGAATTCGAACATATGACAGTTGAATCAATTACCGAGAAGGCTAACCCGGTCAACAATTGCCAGCAGAAGTCGGATGTGTTGGCCGAAAGGTGCAAATATCGCAGCCACGCTGTAAACAGACACAACACAATTATATCTTCGGATGAACGCAGAAGAAGAAAAAGAATCAAAGAGCCACTACGCTATCGTGGCTTAATCAGCCTGCCTGGTGAACCTGCCTGGTGAAACACACTCTTGTTTGTTGTTCAGAAATCTGAACACAGCTCACCGGCTCCTGTTAATCTTTGGTTAAACAAGGAATTCTAAAACACTACCAGGAGTCTGGGACATGCCAGAGACGACATCGTAAATCTACTAGACACTTCCGGTCTCTCAGTAGTCCGACATAATTCACGGAAAATATAAATTAAAAGATCTCTGTGGCCCAAAAAAATATTAGTCAGTCTCAAGGAAATTTAAGGGTACGATTGTTCAGCGGACATGAGAAATCACTGCACAATCGTCAACTCCAAACAAAAAAAGGATTTTTTCCCGCCACATAATCCACCAACAAATTGCCCATCCCGTTCCAGGGGATAAACTTCAGGTGTCACAGTCTTCTCAGCCTTCTTCCCTTGCTGACCCGAATCACTGACTCTCTATTCACTTAATCCTTTGAGGATTTTCTGGATTTATTTCCAAGTCCCTGGTGGGGACGAAACGACCGCAAGGGGTCGTCAAACGGCTTGTAAAACAAGATGGCAAATTCCAGGTAGCCTTCGCCCTTCTGAAACTCTAGACATCTTGGGTAATAAATCTGGGCCAGAGAGACGGGATACCGCTCAAAGAACAATCATGATTTACTGATGTTACTAGCAAGTACTGGGCCGTGACAACTTGTCTTGTTCTCTCCACTCCCATCGCTTTAAAGTAGGTCACCATGTGTGACGACTGGAGAATGTGGAACAAGGTGTGCTATCTGATTCATCACCTGTGATGACCGCCGAAGACATTGTTGATGCTCTGGTCATAAAATCAGCAGTCTAGACAAGGCGTGGTGGCGGTTTGCTCTGTCGGTTACATTACAAAGAGCCATAGTCTGCTTCCTCCTTCTAGTTGTAGAATTCTTCCAACAGCGTCATATCAGACAAGCAGATCGGCCAAGGTCCTTTTTTGTCTGAACACAGCTGCAGCTAATTTTGATACTTTTGATAATCATTGTGGCAGCCGCAGTGGTGCAGCGGCTAGATGTTCGCCTGCTGATCTGAAAGTCGTGGGTTCAGGTCCTAATAGGGCAAGACTATGTTTCTTTTCAGAAAAAAGTTTGGCTCTCATGTGGACCCAGCCTTCAAATGGGACGAGGTGAAGTACTGGAAAGTACGGGACACTGGAGTCATGTCGACCACATCACCCACAGAGTGCCTATTGATCTATCTATACAATCTAGGTCTAGTCCTATATGCCCAATATACCTGAATGTGTGGACCAGTGTCCTTTACATTATTATCGTGCAGAAAATTCTTTGCAGAAAGTCACAAGTCGGACCACCACTCAATCCCCCTGTTAACTGGCCCGCTTCACCAACATCATCCCACAGTTGTCATTTATAAGGTCGTGCTGGCCAACCCCTGCCTGTTCTTCAAGGAATACAACAACCCCCCCCCCCCCACCCCCCTCTTCCCTCCCACCCCCTTCCACCATACATTTACGCCTAAATCCTTGTGGCGTTAAACGTGAAGCTAGTTTTAAAGGACTGATGTTGTCTATTAATTATGAGACTGTCAAAGTCATTTGAGCAGAAATACCGATGCAAGCCAAACTTTCAGTCGTTGACTGAATTACAACAGACAAAAAAATTCAAATTAGAGACGACACTGCAAATATAGATAATCTATTTCGAGCGAACGAACGAACGAACGAAGAAGAAGAAAGGTTATTTACTATTGGAGGCGTGGATGTAAGAGTGGTTTATTTTCATGGAAATCCCCCCCCCCCCCCCGGGGCCCCTTTTTCAGATACGAATAATAACATATTTCTTCTACAAAGACACTTACGAGGCAGACGAGCAAGAGTTACACAGCGATACAGATGAGAGAATAAGGTCAATAGACACGCGAAAGCTTGTCGTAAATTAAATTTAACAACTCTATGAATCAGAACTCAAGTTTTTTTTTTTTTACAAGACTAACAGCGAGAAGTGGACGATCAACCAGAACTTCTCGACGAAGATTACAGCTAGTGCAGCACGCGAAGAAGAAGAAGAAGAAGAAGAAGAAGAAGAAGAAGAAGAAGAAGAAGAAGAAGAAGAATGGGGGTATTCAAAAATTAATGGTGGATGAAAATGCGATTATGTTACAAACAACTGCCCCCCCCCCCCCCACATCCACACCCATTTTGATTTGTGTGAAATGGGTGTAATTCAAAGCTGTACTGTTTGGGACAAGATCCTCCAACACTTGGTGAAGGGGAGGGGGGAAGGGGGAGAGAAACCCAGACTACCACCTCGCTGAACAGAGCAGCTCAATGGTATGACAGAATCACTAATGCAGTGCTCTGTAGGATGGGGGTAGGACTCAGAAAATTCTAGTGAGTGCAGAGGCGAAGAAAAGACATTGATGTTAGGAAATATGTTGAGAAAACCCGAGTACAATAGAACATCACTTCACTGGGGCTGGAACAAAGTGGGTGGGGGAGGCAGAGAAATAAAAGCAGACCAGCAACAACATCAACAAGGAGAAGGGAGCTCAAGAGCGAGGTTAAACAGACTGGGCGTGCTTTTCAACTGTGTACTCTGGGACCAAAATGCTCCAAATTGAGATCGTCACGGGCCAGATGCCTGAGCCCTAGCATAGAAAGATAATTAATACAAATAAATGGCACTGATCCGCGTGCCGCTTGCTAGTCTCTGCGAGCCTCATTTGGCTCCCGGGCCGCCAGGTGAATAGCTCTTGCATAGGGTGAGCTGCATGAGATAGGAAAAGATAGGACGACTTGTCATGAATAGGTCGAGTGCCCATGCTCCACTGGGAGATAACGGACAGAAGAAGAAGAATGGCTCGGCAGCCAAGTGCAGTAACCTCTGTGCTTCAGCGGCAGGTGGAGTAGGGACAGCAAAAGACTAGGGTCAGCAGACCGGAAAGCATTGCCCTCTTCAGCCCAGGAGCGTCAATCTGACTTAACAGAGCTGCGGGATTTACACTATAATGAAGCATGAAGTCTTGAAAACTAACTGTAAAACATCGTGGACGTTTTGGTGTGTGATTTTTCTGAAACAGAATCTAGATCTCTCAAAGGTAATGATTCTGCTAGCTCTATTCGGTGCGTCTTCTTCGTTTACACAGACATAGTTTGCACCACTCGTAACTGCACGCCTCTACATCTTCCACGCTTCTTTTAGTGGCTTGTGCTTGTTTGTTCATATACTTAGCCAGTTTGTCTTTTTCAACAATGTCTGTACCATGGCGTTATTAACCGCTAAAGACCACTTAGATATTACAACTGTTTCTTGTATACATACAGTTAGAATTTATCATATATATATATATATATATATATATATATATATATATATATATATATATATATACATATATATATATATATATATATATATATATATATATATATATATATATATATATATATATATATCGAGAGAAAGAGCAAGGAGAGAGAAAGGGAGGAGAGACAGCAGGAGAAAACACACTTTAGAGAGAGAGAAAGATAGACTATGTGTGTGTGTGTGTGTGTGTGTGTGTGCGCGCGTGATTTTATGTCATGATAGTGGTCTGAGTTCGACCTGAAATACTATATAGTTTTCAAAATTTCTAGGAAGGAAATATGGTGAGGAATGGAACTGGTCATCTAAGTCATAATTTCGTGACCCAGAATATGTGACAGTATATATGTATGTGTCTCTGTGCATGTATGTGTGTAAAAGTGTAGTGTGTGTGTGTGTGTGCGCGCGCGCCTACGGAGGTGTTTTCGTGCGTCTGGCTGCGTACTTGTTCCAACTCATTCTTCATCACTCAAAGACAACCACTCATCACCTAACGACGTCGATCACCTGTCCATGATACGCAATTCTTTAGTCCGCCATTTATCATTCATAATCGTATCCAAAATACTTTTTTTTACCTGCTCGTTCAGATTAACCATATACTATTCACTCGTGACACCACCATTCACTCACAAGTCCACTATTCGTCCACCATTCACCTCTCATCCAATGTCCACCATTCATCTCTCATCCAATGTCCACCATTCACCCACGTGCCCACCATTCAACTCTTATCCAGTGTTCGCCATTCACCCACGAGTCCACCATTCACCTCTCCTCGAATGTGCCAGATTCACCTCTAATCTAGTGTCTACCATTAAACCACGTGTCCATCATTGACCCACGTGTCCACTATTGACCCACGTGTTGATCACTGATCCACGCGTCCACCATTCACCCACGTGTCCTCAATTTACCCACACGTCCACAATTCATTCACGTGTCCACCATTCACCTCTCATCCAGTGTTGAACATTCACACATGTGTCCACCATTCCCCCACGTGTCTACAATTCACCCTCGTGTTCACAATTCGCCATTCATCCACGTGTCCACCATTCACTCTAATTCAGTGCCAATAATTCACCCACGTGTCCACCCTTCCCCCACGTGGTACAATTCACCCTCGTGTTCACAATTCGCCATTCATCCACGTATCCACCATTCTTTCAGTGTCCACCATTCACGCACGTGTCCACTGTTTACCCATGTCTCCACCATTCACCTCTGATACGGTGTACAACATTTCCCCACTTTTCCACGATTCACCCATGCCTCCACAATTCACCAATCACAGACTAAGCCACCATGCACCCATCCTTCAAAACCAGCCAGTACCTACCCGACTTATGAGCCGTCCTTTCCGACTGAAGCAGAGATAAGTATTCACCAAACCGCTCTTGATCTTGATAGCGCCACTGGCATCTGAGATGAACTTTAAGCACGCTGTTGATGAAAATAAACACAGGATAAACACAGGCATGGTCATTATTAAACCATTCTTCTTTTTTATTTTTCGTCGAGGTTAATCGATCGATCGGTTTGTCCGCGCCGGGCTGATCCCTGAAGGTTTACCACAACATTATCTTCTTCTTCTTCAGCATTCCGAGCCCTTGACGGTAATTGCTGCAGATATCACCCGCCTTCGTTGATCTATCTGGTTGACAGTCTCTTCCCAGCTGGTGACACCAAGTGTTTGCAGGTCTGTCTTGATATTATTTTTCCATCGTCTTCTTGATCTGCCTCGTGATCTGCGACCATTCATCTCCCTGGCGTGTACAGTTTTTACTTCTCTGTCATCTGACGGTTTTTTTTTTTTCAATATGCCCTAACCATTTCAGTCTATTAGCTCTCATGATGCCAGTGATCAGTGGTGATTTAAACAAATTGTGAATTATCACTCTCCATTCACTGCTGTTTGCATCTTTGTCAAAAACCACACCCTTTTGGATGTGAAAATATTAGTCTGGACGAAAGACCAACACAGTAGATCGCAGATAACCCGCTGAGCATCCCAAGAAGTTGCCAACAGGAAACCCCTAAGGTCAAACCTGCAGTTCTATGCGTGTAATGTTATGTACAACTGGACTATTCAAGTGGTAGTCCGCGGGCCTAGTCTGGCCAGCGTAGGCCTAGCAAGTGGCCTGTAGACCATTACCCGATGTTTTGTATAAATGATCTGTTTTATGCTGGGGCTATACGCCACAGAACAGCCCTTATTTCCTGTCATAGGTTAGTTGAGTATTCTTCACAGGACGTTGCAGAACCAACCCCAGCAGCCCCTGGCTGTTGTGTGGTTTCTCTAGGCAAATTTACGTCCAGTTGTTTGCTATTGCTCCTGGACGATCGGGCCCCTGATACCACTGTCGAAACCATGGCCCGCAGCTGGGATCGGACCCGGCACCACGAAGATTTTGCATCGACTTAGCCACAGAACCTACAATGTCCTTTCATCCCTGTGATTAAATTAATGAACAATTATGTCATCTTAACTATGTGTGTGTGTGTGTGTGTGTGTGTGTGTGAATGTGAGTAAAAATCAATGACGCTGAAATATTTTGGTCATATCAAGCGTCAAGGCGGACTGGAAACAAAAAAATAGCAGAAGGCATGATACCAGAAAGGAGGGACAGGGGACGACCAACACTAATATGGGCACAGGATATAAGTAACTCCTTCAATGGGCAGGAGAGCCGATGAGACATTGGGTTTCTTTCAAGCAGACGGTGATGAGAGCAACGTTCTGCAACGGACCTGCTACATGACTGAATCTATATCTATATAAAGGTAAAAGTAAAGTCGGGAGATGTGAACCAGCGTCATTGCACGCGGTTATAAACCATAAGTGCTCTGCCACCAGTACGGACAGATGGTAGGAAACTGTGTGCCTGTGTCGCCATCCGCACGCAACTCCGTAGCTACAGCGACGTTCCTCCATTTACCCAAGAGTGTTAACTCTCGTACCCATTGCCCAGAGGCTGGGTGAACACCGGGAACCACTTGGTTTCGGACACCGGTCGTGTGCTGCAGCGAGTGGCAGCTGGATCTAAAAGCAAGTCTCCTATCGACTTCGCTAACGCGGTCCCCTGTCTACTCGTTACCTATCTCCCCTTTATACTTTTCCTGATGTACTGACTCCCCATAGCTAGTGGTTGTTGTCACAGTTCTTAAATCATCAATTAAAAAAAAGGCACACAGTCTGACTGCGGACAGACGATTTGTGCCTGCAGGTGTCCATACATATATGACCCCTTAACCTCCAAGACTAGGCCGGCTGGATCAGTGGAATGTTAAGGCAGTTGGTATGCCTGGATTCCAGTGAGGCAACTAATGCGTAAATGTAATCAAATATGACAAAGATTCTCAACACTGGATACATGTCTCCAAGAACAGACACACAGTGATGGTGGAGAAATAAAGATGTGGTAGAATAACGTCAACACCGGATCAACTACTTTGTGTGTGCAGATTCTGCGGTCTCATTGAGGGTTGGGGAATTGGGGTTGGGGGAGCGCCCCTCACAAACAAGCATGTCGTAAAGGACGGCCAATCAGAGGTTTGCTGATACCGGACGTATTGGGCCACAGGGTGCAAGTATCGCTATTTAGTTGTAAAGAACCCAGCGTGCCAACCACCCCTTTAAGGGTGAGCGCAGGAGAAGAAGCAGTAATGCAACAGTCGTTAAGCTGGACAGTTCACTACTTACGGAAACTGTAAAGCAATAGTACTCAGCTTTTACATCTGTACAGTTATTTCTCTATTGGTAGCCGCCGCAGTGTAGCAGCTAGACGTGGGTTGAGATCCTGGCAGGGGCAGAGTTTTTTTTCAATAACCGACCTTGAATCCCAGGTAGACTCATCCTCAAATGGGTACCAGGTACAGTCTTAAGCAGTTGCTGACTAGATCACCCGCCGAGTACCAGTTGAATACCAATCGGTTTATAGAACAGAAATCTAGCCCTACATGCCCTATATTCTCAGTACGTCTGAAGTTGTAAAAAAATGTAACTGTACTTTATTTTTACTCTACATTATATTATTCAACAGTCGACCATTAGCCCAGTTGTTCATTTCTTGTAGCTATTCTTCATAAATACAATTTATTGTCTGATTTGAACATTAGATGATTTTAATCATTTAGTGATATCTTCTATATCTAGTTTGCATTATACTTGTTAATAATGCTTACATTTCCCAACTCCAAGTCGTAATGTAACTGTTACATTGAATGTCATCTTCCAATTTCAGTGTGTATTGAACCTGTTACTTTAACTTACATCTTACAATTCCATTTTGTGCTGTAATTGTTACTTCAAATGACATTTTCCAACTCCAGATTGGGCGGTAACTGTTACTTTAAATAACTTCATCCAACTCCAGATTGTGCGGTAACAGTTACTTTAAATAACTTTATCCAACTCCAGATTGTGCGGTACTTGTTACTTTAAATAAATTCATCCAACTTTAGTTTTTGCGGTAACTGTTACTTTAAATAACTTCATCCAACTCCAGATTGTGCGGTAACAGTTACTTTAAATAACTTCATCCAACTCCAGATTGTGCGGTAACTGTTACTTTAAATAAATTCATCCAACTTTAGTTTGTGCGGTAACTGTTACTTTAAATAACTTCATCCAACTCCAGATTGTGTGGTAACAGTTACTTTAAATAACTTCATCCAACTCCAGATTGTGCGGTAAATGTTACTTTCAATAAATTCATCCAACTTTAGTTTGTGCGGTAACTGTTACTTTAAATAACTTCATCCAACTCCAGATTGTGCGGTAACTGTTACTTTAAATAATTTCATCCAACTCCAGATTGTGCGCTAACTGTTACTTTAAATAACTTCATCCAACTCCAGATTGTGCGGTAACTGTTACTCGGAACTTGATTGAATACTGCCCCCATCTCCCTTATCATACGCTTAGATGAACGCTAGTTTGGTTAACGCCACAAATTCAACATCTGATTTAAGCTTCTCTGTCTAAAAGACACTAATTCAACATTTGATTCAAGTTTCTCTGAAAGATAGTAATTCAACATGTGATTCTGGCTTCTTTGTTCAAAGGACAACAATTTGATTCAAACATCTGACTCAAGCTTCTCTGCTAAAAACAAAAACTTCATTATAAGATTTGTGAATCTCTGTTAAAAGACATCAATTCAACATGAGTTTGCGCTTCCTGTAAAAAAAAAAAAAAGACTAATTCAACCGGAGATTTAACGTCGCTGTGTTGAACCCCATTTGTCAGATTTATAAATGACAGAGTCTGAACCGCCAGCGAAAGCCCCTGACATGTAGACCACAGAAGCAAAGTTTGGGAACCGCAAGATTAGAGACCAGACTTGGCTGGTTCAGGTCTATTTTTGTCTGTTTACTTTTACCGTAAAGTGCCCAAACAGTAAAGGTGAGATTTCCTCGTCGAGATCACGTAGTGGTTGTCTGCCCCTCGGAAACAATGCTAACTGTGCAAGGACACCTTCTCCTCGTCTGAGCCGGTTTAATCACCTGATGGCTAAAGGCTGCGCCCACCCCGCACTTTCACAACTGTTTAAGTTCCGTTTCCCCAGTTTGGGTTCCGGGGAACAAAATAATAGACTCCCTGCCCCAATAATCAGCATGCCGTACAGGGCGACCAGTTAATTAAGAGTTTGTTAAAATAAGATAGGCTGGGCTGATGGGCACAGCTATCCTTCTAGCAAGTTTTTTTGGGGGGGTTCTCCTAAAACTACCCCCCCCCCCTTTTTTTTTTTTCCGTCACCACCGACACGGCAAGTGCCAGCACAGAACCACAAAGTTTCAATTACAGTAATGCTTAAAAGAATGACATTTAAAAACGGTACCGGCATTACGTACCGCCAGATTTTGAAAGAAAGAAAAAGGCCATGGATAGATGTTGAATACAACACAAGAAGAAGAAGAAGAAGAAGAAGAAGAAGAAGAAGAAGAAGAAGAAGAAGAAGAAGAAGAAGAAGAAGAAGAAGAAGAAGAAGAAGAAGAAGAGGCAGAAGAAGAAGAAGAAGAAGAAGAAGAAGAAGAAGAAGAAGAAGAAGAAGAAGAAGAAGAAGAAGAAGAAGAAGAAGAAGAAGAAGAAGAAGAAGAAGAGGAAGAAGAAGAAGAAGAAGAAGAAGAAGAAGAAGAGGAAAAAGAAGAAGAAAAAGAAGAAGAAAAAGAAGAAGAAGAAGAAGAAGAAGAAGAAGAAGAAGAAGAAGAAGAAGAAGAAGAAAGTTATAGGGTTTAATTAAAATTGCATGCATATTTTACTAGAGCTACACAATAAGCACAGACATCCAGACAGTTGACACAAAGTAAACGACCTAACTTTCTATGTATTAACTATGTCTGAGCAGGGCCACCATCTGTGGCCCAACTGGTTGAAAACTGACCTACTAGAAACCGCAGTTTAACCATCAAATGTCAGATACAATACTATCATTTCCTCT